GGTTTCCGAGGCAGTATCACTACGGAAGTAGGATTGCCCAACCTTCCTTCCGAGGAGTGGCTGGTGGGTTTGAACCGCCAGCCTTCTGGTGAGCGGTCAAGTGCCTTAGCCACTATGCTACCAGAGCTCCCTCACTTACATAGCATTTACTGTAATCCAGGCACGGTTTCCAGCACTTTCCATAGAACAACCCCAAGGCAGGTATATTATTAGTCCCATTTCAGTGCTTGCAAAGCAGCTGGGCCCCCAAGTCTGAGCTACAAAACACGGTGCCAACACTGCCTCTCTAAAAGGAAACAAATGGCTACCCGACCACTATGTTCTTTATAATAAACCAAGGTGGATAAGGAACACACCTCCACCCTGGCCATGGCCGCCACGTCAGATCCACACATTACGAAAACCTGGACTGTGAGAGTCAAAACCATAGATTCACTCCATTCCTTCACTAAATTCCCTTCCTAAGCTGACTGTGAAAGCCAAGAATGACAGGTGGACTTGGGGAGGAATTCACAGTGGGCATACCTCTAATCAAGAAGATCATGAGGCATCTGAAACAAGAAAAACTGATGGAAAAAGGAAAGGAAGGGGCAACAGACAGACACAGAAATGGAAGATGGTCCACTGGAGTAGGGAGAGTGTAGCAGGTTTATCCAGAATCCAAAGCTGGCAATGAAACAATGGAAAGGTCCTATCAGAACATATTAAGAAACTCCTCACTTTCATAAACAACGCGCAGAGGGCCATGGAGCCTAACAAAATTCACACTTAATGGGAAGCTGGAGAAACAACAGGGGACACTGAGGTGCAACCAGAGTCCCTCTACATCACGTTGAACCTCGAACTAGTAACATTTATTTAACAAATGTCAATTGGGTGCCTAGTATGGCCAGGCGGGTGCTGTGCCAAGCATGCAGGAATAAGGAAAACATAAGCCCAGCCGTCAGAGAGCTCACAGTCTGTAAACTAAGTAAACGAAAAGGCAAACACTAGAGCAGATGCATCACCACCAATCCCCAACCATGTGTCCTTGTAAAATGTCCACTGTATTAGTCTGCAGTACATGGCCTCAAGGCACCTTGGATTCTTCTCAAAGCAAAACTCAAAGAACTTTGGGGCAATGAAAGCCAGCTAGATGTTAGCAAGAGTGGACACGTTTCCCTCAATTTCTAGGAAAAGCTACTATTCCACTGAAGAATGACTGAGGATGAACTGCCAACGTATCTAGGATTCAGCCTTCAGTCCCCGTCTGTTTTCACGCCTTGCCTGCTTTAGATTCTTCCAAGACGTGCTCAACACCACACCACCAACTACTTACTAAATGCAGAATCTGGGGCAGGTAGCTCACTATACAATGGAGACACAACCAACCAGCTGACAGGGCTCATGTAAGTGGGAGAAAGAGGACATGTAAAACTGCTGACCACAGTATTTGGCAGACGGCAACAAAACATGGGAAAACTAACTAATAAACCATCAAAGTGCTGACTTACTTCTCAAAAGATATTGTACTGAATACATAAAGCTTATAGGAAATTCCACCCACAGCCATGGAGTTGATTCCGCCTCAAAGCAACCCCGTAGGACAAGAATAGTAGTATTGCCCTTCAGGGTTTCAAATG